GAGGCCGTGGAGGCAGTGCCGAGGCTCTCGGGGCTTCTGTTCCGTCACCGCGAACGCCTGCCCCTCCCCCGGGGACCCGCCTGGCGGACGAACTGCCCCGCACCTGCCCACGACCCTCCTTCCCTCCCTAGCCCCGGGCGAGGCGAGGCAGGCGGGTGGGGGAGGCCCCGAGAAAGCCAGGTAGGAAAAGGCACCGGGTCGAGACCCCTGACCGCCGGGGTGGGGCGAGTCTGTGGAGCAGGGACAAGCCTGGGTGCGAACGGTGCGGTGGGCATCTCTCTGGGGGGAAGGAAGGAGAGGGCGGGTGGGTTTGTGGCTATCTGCCCGCCTGGCTTATCTACCAAGCCCTCTTGCTTCCAAATGGGAGCCTTAAGGAAATGGCCTTTCTGCCCGCCAAAGATGGCTTTTCCGTGTCCTGCCAACTGCTGGAATTTCTCCAGTGGAGCATCGCTCTGAAAAACATGAAATCCTGCTACAGAATCCAGCAGTTCCTCAAAGTACACATCGAGGTGGAATATCACGGCTGCAGACTTTTCTGTGGTACTGCCGGACTGCGGTACTGTCTTTTGGCTTTGGGTCAAGATACGATCCAGTCTTGGTGACTGTGTTGTTGTTGTTGACAGCGTCATTCTTATTTAAAAATTCTTGGGCCAGATGCCCTGAACTTGAATGGATTGGAATCAAGTCATTTTCACTCAGCACCAATCACATAGCACCGATACAGTAACTGTAATATTACTGGCTTCTCTTGGGACTGGCCAGAGTTTTACTTTGGTCTGTATCTTCCTCAGTTTACAAATGTGGAGGGAATACAATTCATTTGTGTCTACTGCAGTTGAAAGGTACATGGGTTTCATCAAGTCACCATCACGCAAGTGCTGACCAAAACCCCATGAGAGAGTTTTGAAACAGCTGTTTCCTGGGGCCACTGTTTCCTCGTTTGTGAAATGAAGAGGCTGAGTTACAAGCTCTCTGAGGTTCTTCCAGCTCTAAATTCTCATGATTCTGTGACTTTTGTAAGGAAACAGATGATTTCTGTTAGATGCCAGTTAAATTTCTCTAACATGGCAGTTGCTGGTGTAGAAGCAGACAAAGAGTAAACATCTTCCTGTATGTTGTTAAGGTGAGGGATTGGGTTAACATTAAGGGAGCAGAAAACTCTGATATTTCTTCCACTCAGGGCAGTATCTCTAACTCCCAAGTTCACTGCTAACACTCTTGGTGAAATGCGAAAGATACTTTAGTTTGGTAGCAGAGTTTCTGGTCAGTAAAAAGCTGTCTGTATATTCATTTTTGCATATGGATAAAGGACAGCTACCTGTAAACCTTCCATCCTCTCTGGAAGAACAAATCCTTCTGCATTCCCATTTCTAGTCCCTACCCCGTTTATCCCAGTCACCTCCAGCTCCAGCTTTTCCAGAGAGTGACAAGCAGTTATAATCCTCCCTGCCTTCTCTCCTTAAAGGCATCAGCAACATGCATCAAGGATGCCAACACTTTAAAGTGATGGGAATCAGTCTGTTCCCTATGCAAGAAGTCGTTTGTACAGCTCTTAAGGAGTCTATGAAATGAAGACAAAACAACAGATGTTTCACATGTAGAAAACAGCCAGTAAAATCAGTTTCCAACACCGTGTCATGAAGTCACCAACATGTTTAGGTTGAATCACCAGAAAGGCAACAAGCATAAACATGAGCCTCGGCTTTTCAAGGGATCTTGAGTCAAATGTTTCCTCCTCCAAGGTTTCTATTCACCTGTGTCTCCAGGCAAATTTATAAGTTCATTTTCTAAACTGCCTTTGCCTTTGAGTAGTGAGAATGCTGCTTTTTTATTTGTACGCCCTTTCTTTGAAACGGGATGATGTCTTTTCATTTTATTTCCGAGGTTAGCTTACGGCTGGTGCTCAAGAAATGTTTGCTACTTTTGAAAGTTGATGCTTCTTGAATGCTACGTGCCAGGTACTGTATCCAACATTTTGCATGCATTATCTCATTGGTTCCTTACGAAAAATTTATTATCCTCACTCTGTGTGAGTGTATGTGTGTGTGTGTGTGTGTGTGTGTGTGTGTGTGAGCAAAATAAGAGCCAAAGCAGCTAAAATACTGCCAAAGGTCACACTGCTGGTAGCAGAGGTGGGATTTGAATTCAGTACTTTCTGCCTTCAAGGTCAATGTGATTAATGACTATACTGCCTTCAAACTTGATAAGAAAGGACAGAGTATATAATTATTTTTCACAGCATGTTTTCTGATTAATAACTACTCTTCCTAATTGTTTACTCACAAATATGAATGTGTGGGGTGGAGTTTATGGGCTCTGGTGCTGCTATTATTAACACCATTTTATATTTATATATAACTTTATCATTTTTCTAAGCACTTTAACATATACTATCTCACTTGGTTCTCAAAATAACCCAGTGAGGTAAGTGAATATAGTTTTTTCATTTTATAGATGAAGAAACTTAGGTGCAAATGGTAAATTGAATCGCCACCCTATGAAGTGGCAAGTCGCAAAATTAGAACTCAGGACTCCTGAGTCACATTCCAGGGCGACTTTGGCTAGTTCATGCTGTAGGGTTGGGATTTAAGGAGGTTTAGATTGTGGTGCTTTCGTGGGTTTCAGGAGTGAAGTTTGGGTTACTAAATGTAAAAACTCATTAACCAAATCTCAGCCCTTGTATGGGAATTAATTAAGCTCCCAGTGTTAAACCGCTGTGGTGGGACTTCTTGATGGTTTCTTCTGCCACTGAGGTTTTTTGTCCCCATCATGCTTTGTAGTCTCTGTCTCTCCTCCTACTACTGGATACCATTAGGGGATAGAATCCATGACTCTCCCCCTGTCTGCTCCTTGGTTTCTCCAGCCTTAAATTGAAAATACCATATTCACTTGTAAAATAGCTTGAGAATACCCAAGTGAATATTATTAACATATGTGATGTGTGGGATGCTACCCTGGAGCAAGGACATTTTCTTCCTATCTGGAAAAAAACCATCTATTGGGGAAAAAAAGTGAGATTCACACTTGAAACATCTTCACATCGAGCTCCAGAACTGAAAGAGAACTTGGTGGTCTCCATCCACTCATCTACTCTAAAAATCATAACAGAGAAAATGAAATTCTTCTGAAATAAAAATTATGTTGTTTAGAACCGTGCTTCCTTTCTGCATTAGGGACCTGTGAGGCAGAGACAGAGCAGCAAGGAGGATAAAGGGAGAAGCGAAGTGATGGGAAGAGACAAGGAAAGAAAGATCTAGCACAGGAAGATCAATGGAAAAGGACTGAAACACAGTCACAGGGAATAAAAAGACCAAGATACACCCTTCAACACAGGGAAACAGACACAGAGAAACAGATCCAGAGATTGGAATTCATGACACCAAGTGGACAAGGGGAAAAGGGCTAGAAGATATAGAGATGAAAGGAGGTGAACAAATTAAAAACTGATGGCCTTTAATGGAACACATCTCCCTTCAGGCTAACACCAGCAAGGCCATACTGCATTTGAAAGAGGCAATTAGCTCCTAGGACTCCTAGTGTGGCCAGGAGGAAGTCAATCGCCTTCCTCTTTTTCCTCCTGCACTTTGCACTCAGGAAGAACACCTGATCGATATGGCCTTTCACTGATACCTTCATGTTTCCCCTCCAGACTGTATACTCCTGTTGGGCAGGGAGGCCCATCTATCCAGGAGGCAGCCATGGCAGCCAGCACCGGGGTCGGGATTAGAGTCCCTGAGGACCTGCTCTGGCTCTGCTGCTGAGAAGCTGTGTGACCTGGAGAAAATTACTTACCCTCCCTGTGTACCCTCGAACTACCTCTCAGGGTGGCCATGAGAATTAGGTGAGCTCTTTTCAAAAATATGTGTGAACTATGGGCAAGGCAGAGGTCAGGGACTATTGTTCTTTCTCTTGGTAGCCCCGCAGCAGTTACCTGCTGTTAAGCTTTTCAACAAACATCTATTGGACTGAAGATGCCCTCAGCCTGGCCTGAGCCAGCTTCCAGGCGGCAGCTTCCTCAGTTTTATCCTGGACTATCTGCAAAAGCAAACTGTGAGTCTAAGAAGCACAGTCACACAGCAAGCACATGGCTTCTGCAAACAGTGACCACAGCTGCACACTACAGGGAAGTCTTTGCTTTTGTACACAGTGATAATGATTCCCGTCAATAAAAACCATAATTTACACAAAGAACTGATCATACTGTGCCTGCCTTTGTGTATTAACTCTGTATTCTTCAAAGTCCTTTCACATATGTGTTTTCTTTGTTATAAATACCAAAATTTGCTTGTATGCAGATAGCCACACCTAACTAAAAGTAGAGCTTAAACTCAAGCTTAAAGAATGTTTTGAGGATGTAGAACCATTAAGGGAATTACCTTTGAAATGAGTTAGAACCAGCAAATCACTGTGAACAAATCCAGCTGCCTTCCTAAGTTATCAGATCAACAATTTTCAGTGTCTCCTGAATCATAAGTAATTCCATAAAAGATGTATTTTGCTCATTCTCCTTTACTAAGCTCAGATGATTTCTCTCTTTTCTTTTCTTTTTTTTTTTAGTTTCCTGATCATAAAAGTTGCATGTTAAAAATTAAAACATGCCCAATGTGGTAAATAATAATCACAAATAATGCCGTCACTGACAGGTTTTAGTAGAAGTCTTCCCAGTCTTCTTTATATGCACTTCTTATATATTTGATTGAGATCATGTTTTAAATTAAGAATATTAATATTTCACTTATAAGTACTTCCAATGTTGAAATTTTTGCAAACCTCATTTTTTTTCGCTGGTTTTGAAAGGAATTCTTCACTGGGGGAGAGCAGGTTTGTTCATAGACACACCTTGGCACACAAACAAAGACAAGGCCTTCATCTTTTCTGGTAAGTTTATCCTTAAAAATATTAAGAGATCCATCCTTCCTAGCACTCAGTTTGTCTTTAAAGTGGCATCATAATGTCTATAGAAACCCAAGCTCCTATTTCAGTATCTAGTTTTTTCTTTTTATAGGCTGAGCTCTATGAACTCGTGTAGTAAACAACAATTACGTAGGTGCTTGGTACTTAAGACGTGAGTGAAGGAAAAGCATTCCTGTGAAGCTTAGTCTGTGGTGTCTTGAGCCGTGCATGGCTGGCCAGTTTGAACCCCAGGAGGGAATTACTCCTCAGCAAGGTTGTGGGTGAAAACCTAAATGGCCAGAAACTTAGAACAACGTAGGGAAAGCTGACTAGGTACGAAGACTCACAAGTCTAACTTGGGGAGGAATCTTCAGTACATACAGCGATGAGACTCTCCACCCCAAGCACACGGGCACATGCTTACGTAGTAGCTGCGTGCCACCATTGGTCTGTGACTGACCTCAAGAACTACAAATAGTCAGTCTGAAGACCGAATGAACTGCTGAGGGAAGAGCCGGGCTGAACTACGTTTGCCTTGCAGGTAGTATGATGGAGCTACCTAGCAGAGGTCTTAGAAGGATCTGGAAGGTTTTAAATAATATTAGCGTAAGATGAAGGACAGGGAGCACTTGCCAGTCGTCTGCCACTTTCCTTCCTTTGTGTATTATAAATCCATCGTTTCCTTATGCAGTATCTGTGGCTTGATGGGTTTGTCCTTATATGTTTCATTCTTCTGTTTTATAAATAATTCTGTTCACTCCATCTGCTGCTGATTAACATGGTCCTGGCCCATATAAGAGCATACAGAAGATTTTAACATTGGAAAGGAAGAGAAATAACTATCACTATTTTTCAAACAGTATGGTAATTTATTGAGAAAAACTAAGAAAATCTACTGAAATATAGAATAAAGTAGTTGAGGTGAGGTGGCTGGATACAGGATCAACCATACAAAAATAAATGACTTTTCTATAAGCCAGCAAATAACAATTAGAAAAGGTAATAGAAAAAGAAAACATATAATATTTTTAAAATTTATAAATCATTAGTTTTAGACCTAAAAGACCTTTATGAAGAAAGCTGCAAACCTTTACTGAAAGACATAAAAGCCTAAACAAACTGAGCATGGCCCTAAAGGGAAGATTCAATATTGTAAACATGTCAGTTTTCCCCAATTTGATCTCTGAATTCAATCAAATCCAAATCTCAATGTGTTTTTAATGGACTCCGTAAGCTCTTTCTAAAGCTTGTGTGAATTAGAGGATACATTCAAGGATAGCCAAGAAATATTTGAATCAAGAACACCGGTAGGGGTGGGAAGAGGAATTTACAACATATCAGAACATCTCAGACATTATCATAATTGAAACAGTGAACAAGAAACAGATCAATGGAACAAAACTGCATCCTGAACCAGACCCACTAAATTTAATTTGTGGCCAGCACAGCATACTTGTGAGGAAAAAAGGATAATGGAAGAAAGCGACAGAAACTATCAGTCTTTGGAAAAAATTAAATTAGCTGAAAAGTGTCACCCCAGGATTCATGTCCACCCAGAACCTCAGAACGTGACCTTATTTGGAAATGGGGATTTTGATTGAGGTAAGGATTGAGGTGCAATCATAAGGGATCATGAGAGGCCCTAAATCCAATGAGAACATCCTTACAGGAGACAGAAAAGGAAAAGGCACAGAGAAGAAGGCCAAGTGAAGATGGAGTGAGAGACTGGAGCGATGAATTCACAAGCCAAGGAAGGCCAATGACTGCTGGGACCCACAGGAGCCGGGGGAGGGGCCTGGGAGGGTTTCTCCCTCAGAGCCTCCAGAAGGGAGTCAGTCCTGCCAACACCTTGACTTTAGGCTTCTGGCCTCCAGCACTATGAGAAAATACATTTCTGTTGTCATAATGCATCCAGCCTGTTGTAATGTGTCACAGCAATCCTAGGAAACTAATACAATGTCCTGCCACACACCAAACACAAACATCAACTCCAGATATATTAAAGGCTGCACACAAAAAACAACACTATCAATGTATTAGAAGGTAATTTTGAATGATATTTTTATAATTCACAGGTAGAGAAAGCTTTCCCAAACAAGACATAAGACCCAGATGTCATATATAGAAAGGCTGACAGATTTGTGTACATTAAAAGAAAGCAAAAAATTGTACATCAGAAGTCGCCATTAACAAGTTAAAAGACAAGTAACAGTGTAGAAGAAAATACCTGCAGTGTACAGCAGAGTAAGAGTTAATATTCAGAACAAAGAAATACTACAATTTATGAAGAAAGACAAATGTCCCAAAAGAATTATTCAAAGGATATAGAATGGAAATACATGGAAATACAAAAGTCCAATAAAAAGCTTTGTAAGTAAATATTTACAAGACTGATACTATCCAGTGCACGTAGACATGAGGATTATAGGCACTTTTTTCAGTGCTGGTAGACGTATAAATTTGTATTGCAAGGATACAGTATTGTTTGTAACAAGTGAAAAAGACATTAGGAATGCCCTAAATATCCAGTAATAGAGTACAGATCTTCCTCAACTTATGGTGGCGTTATGTCCTGATAAACTCATCGTAAGTTGAAAATGCCTTTAATACACTCAACCTACTGGACATCATAGCTGAACCTAGCCTACCTTAATTAAAAGTGCTTGGAACACTTACACTTGCTTACAGTTGGGCAAAAGCATCTAACGCAAAGCCTATTTTATGATAGTGTTGACTGTCTCATGTAAGGTACTGAATACTGTACTGAAAGGGACAAGCAGGATGGTTGTAAATGTATTGGTTGTTTACCCTCCTGACTGCAAAGCTGACTGGGAGCTGCAGCTCACTGCCTCTGCAACACATCACAAGGGCGTACTAGATGGCACACCACTAGCCTGGGAAACGATCAGAATTCAAAATTCGAAGTACAGTTTCTGTTGAATGCATATCGCTTTCACACCATCGTAAAGTTGAAAAATCGTAAATTCAACCATCGGAAGTCAAGTCGGGGATTGTCTGACATAAAATATTTTATGGTATGGTCAAGCTCTGGAATACTGCATAGCCACTAAAAGGAGAACTAGACCAAAATACAGAGAAAGATCTCCATAACATACTGGGAGTTTAAAGGGGAGAGAACAAATCACTGAACAAGAAGTATGGTGAGATATAACTTACATTTAAGCAAAAAACTATGAATGTGATTGGTACACATACGACTACATAATCACACAAGGAAAGGCTTGGAAAGAGAATCCCAAACTAACAGTGTCACTCCCGGGGAGAGAAGTGTGTTGGTTTTGCGTCTTTGGGGTGAGGTGAGTTAAGAATTACTTTTACATTTGCCTGTGTTGTATGGGATTTTCCAATAAAAACAATTCATTATTCATTACATAAATATAAAAGAAAGGAAAAACACAATCAGCCCCCAGAAAGTAATGGCTCTAACTGTTCAACCTGCTTGGCTTTCTGTGGAACATGGTTGAGTACAAGTGTATGAAGATTTTGAAAAATATAGCTAGACATTTGATAAAGCAAGAAAAGCACGCTGCCTCGAAAAATAGATGAAAGATAATTAAAAAAATATGACATTCATATCCCATGTTTTTGGGGTCATCATTTTTTAAAATGTCAGAGTGTCCCATAAGCTTTTGGAAAGCAACGGCTTTGATTTTTCTAAGTAATGCTGTAATGGGATCTGGCTCAGAGAGGTTAGAGAGGCATTCATTTAATGAGCAAAAGCACTGTCCTGGAACATAACAGACTTTGGTGTCATCCTAGCAGGCCAGCACTTAGCTGCCTGACCTTAACTCCTCACCTACTGTCCTACCTACCTTGAGGGCTATGGTGAAGACTAAGAAATAATATATATGAAAACATTTATACCGTGCATGAAGTACTATGTAAATACACCATATTATATTCATTCCTAATACCATGCCCTATCATTTAATGTGGCAGATTAGATCTGCTCATAAAATGCTAAACTCTAAACCCAACATATACACGTGCTTAGGCTAGGGCCGTGAGGGCAAAGAGAAGGAGAAGAAGGATAAGCAATGTGAAGATTTTCATAAGCAGCTGAAAATGTGACTGACACTGAGGGGAGAAAGCCAAGTGTGGCTGGAAAACATCTGAAGCCTAGACACGGCAGTGGGAGTGGTCTCCCAAAAGCAGTGAATCTCAGTGGGAGACTGGGGTGGAGGGAGCTATCTGGATCCTGAGCAGTACTATATTTAGGAAATAAAACTTTTTACTGGCTTTTGGATGTAGACCTAAAAATGCTTAGCTGGGTAAAACATC